GGTGAAACCAGCTGGGAACCTTTTTTTTTTTTTTTTTTTTTTTTTTTTTCTTTTGATTATTTGATGGGTTTATTAGGGTTGTGTTTTGGTTGTATGTATGTATGGCTGGCGAGGTTGGGTTTGCATTCTGGACTAATGCATCTAAGGATGTATGTATGTTGAAGTATGTCAGGTCATATACATCATGATGAGTTCACTCCTCGATCTCGGGCCGTGCCGAATGCACGACATTGAACTTGTCTGTCGGTCATATTCAACGAACTCGAAACATGCACGGTTACTGTACATGCAAATATCCGATTCCCGATCTATCTCATCAATCTATGTATGTATGTATGACGTTTCCGAAATTAAAACCTCAATTTGAGGAGAGATCTGTAGTTATCAAACATAAAGACAAAGCCTTCCTGGACTCTTTTTTCTGGTAAACCCGCTATTCCCGCTTCAAATAACACATGGTAATTCACAAACCCAAAGCCACTTTTCCCTGAATATGGAAACAAAACCCCGGTTAATCCTTCGACTGTTGAAAGTGGTATCTCGTCAGAAAGCAACAGCTGCGCCTGGTGTATTAATGGACAAAAATGAGCAAAAAGCACATTCAGACATCGAGTCTCAGAAAGGAAATAACGATCATTGCCGTCCCAACTCGGCCAATTCTCGCTCCTTCGCTCTCAGCATCTCCCGCATCTCCTCAGCTTCCCGCTGTAACTGAGCCCGGCGTTCTTCCCGCATACTGTCGAGCTCTGTTACTCCGGGCAAGGGCTGAGGGGGCGGAGGTGCCAGAGCCTGGTGTGAGTGTTGGTGCTGCTGGCGACTCAGCGCAGCGAGCGACGGGTCCAAGCGTGACTCGTCCCGCGTGTTAGGGTGGTTGAGAATGGAAGAAATCGAGCTGAGCCGGCCCGGTGGGGACGGGTTGGCAGCTGACATGATAGGTGGAAGTTGGTTCGACCCTGATTCCAACGTTGTGGGGATCGCGACGGCCTCCGCAGATGACGCGGTCTCTGCAAGAGTCCGTTTCTTGGGATTCGCAGGATTAGGCGAGAGGGATCGTCGAGCGAATTGCGAGACGGGAGAATGGCCGGGAGCGTTGATACGATCTGGCTCCAACAGCCTCGGGGGGGGAGGGTGGTGCGGCAAGGACATCGTCGCAGAGCCGAACCCCGTGAAATCAACAGGCGGCGGCGCGAAGCCAAACTGCCTTGGGGCCTGCGGTGAGATACGATCACCAGACATGTGCTTGTAACGGTCCATGGGTTCCGAGCTATAATAACGATAATGGTCGTCGTGAGGAGCTAATGCAGCAGGAGACGCTTCCGGTGAGGCAGAAGACCCATTCGATGACTGCGTGGCACCCGTCGGAGAATGCTCTCGCAGCGCCGGCACAACCCTTTTCCGTCGTTTGATGATAGTCTTCTTCATCGTGGTAGGCCGATAACAACCGTGCAGTTTGTAATAGAGACCTAAATTATTTGTCAGTACAATTACGGCTTTTGCTGTAATAATTGGGGGGGGAAATATTGGAAAAAACCTACCACACGCATTACAGATGGGGTGACCATTCTCGTCTCGTCGCCAGAGTGGAGTTACCGTAGTGCCGCAATTCTGGCAGGATACCAGCATATTGCCTTCTGTTGTCGTTGGAGTGCCATTCTTTACCGATAATTCGGGCTCCTGTAGAGGAAGAGGCTTCTCGCTGTCGGAGGTTGTTGCTCGATTCCAAGCATGCACAGGCACCGTGCCCCGGGGAGTCGACTTGTACACACGGTTGTTGTAAGCGGGGCATCCGTCACACCCCTCAGCCCCTCCTGTACCATTGCAATTCCCTCCCCCAGGACACGAACCTTTGGAACCATGACAGCCCCCTCCCTTGTGCGATGATGGAGCAGGGGAATCGTGCGGAGGATGCGAGGGATTGCTCGGTGGTTGCGTAATTTCTGGACTTGTCTGTACACGGTTGCGCTTTGTCGGTCGAGCAACGTTACGAGCCTTCAAATATAAACCGCAAGCATTGCAGATCATAGCTCCCGTCGGGGAACGCCGCCATAATGGAGTGCTTTTTGTTCCACAATTACTGTGAAGCGTCTCAAGTTAGTAACGGCGTGCAAGATCTAAGCCAAGAAGGAAGACTGAATACTCACCTACACGAATGCCCTAGAAATGAAGTATCTTTCTGGGACTTCGGCGACGATGACTTGTCTGACTGAGCTGCACCAATTTCCGACGGATACGGCGTCGACACATCCAAGAACTTGTCTGCTTCATGCGGACCACGACTGGGCATTTCTTCGTAGCGTTTAGGCCCTGTTTCATCGCGAAGTCGGTCGACAGGATGTTCCCGACCCGCCTGGGCCGATGATATCAACTGCTGCGCAGCATCAAGGTCCTCTGCGGACGGGTGTCGCGCAACAACGTCCGGATTCCGGGGGAGCGATCGTACCGTCTCCATCTGCGGGAGGGATGCTAACATTTCCACCGCGGTCGGTCAGAAGAAGGTATCTGCTCTTTGCTTGGTGTTCCGGGATGATGACAACCCAGGGAAGGGCAGTATAGACCCCCAGAGCTAACGCGGATGTCTGTTGGAGGCGGATCGTCGAAATAAAGGGAGGATGAAGGTAGGTTGCACCACAGTCGATGTTGTAATGTATTGTATCACAAAGTCAAAAGTCGGTCAAGATGACAGTGCAGGAGAAAAAGAAAATTTAAAACGCCTAACTCGAAGGGCGAACCGGTAGAGTAAAAAGAGATGCAGCTAGTGAGACTCCTAAACCAACCAGGTGGAACCGGGGAAGAGAGACCGAGTATCCCTGACAGCGGCTCAGAGATAATAAGGTGGAGACGGATTCCCGAAAGTGAAAAAGGAAGGAGGAGGAGGTATTCGACTAGAAGGAGAATGGAAATAGACGCCTGATCTGCCACGAAGGTGGTTTTGTTGGCCAATCCGAGACGAGGCTGGGTGGCGATGCGGCGTGACGCCAGGTGGTGGTTGAAGCGGTTATCGGTGCTGGATTTTTTTGTTTTTCTTCTGTTTTGGTAAGGATGGGGATTACAATGAATAATAGAGTTGAGGAGAATGAGAGGCAAGCTGAAAGACTCGACAGGTGGAAGCAGGGGGTGGAATGTAAAGTGAAAGTGTAGACAAGAAAGATCGACGGGGAAGGACGATCAATCAATCCGATCAGATATGATGTGTGGAGGTGACCAGGGTTCACAAGAAAAATAAAATATAGAATTTAAGAAAAATACCAAATCCACTAAAAAAAGAAAATAATCACACGAGATTTCTGCGGAAGGGACAGGAGAGAGGGGGAGGATGACGACGTGGGAAGGATGAAGAATGAGGCGTGAGAGATAGATTGATTGATAAAGAACGAGGACACAATTGGGAAAGGCGGAAAAAGTGGGTAATAATGATGCTGCTGCTGCTGAAGATGAAAGAAGAAAAGAACGAAAAAAGGGCCAGACCACCACGTACCCTTACGTTTCTATTCTGGTTGCCTGGAAAAAGCTCCCAAGTCGCATTCCCGAGTCCCAACAGCGTGGTCTTATCGAAGGACGTTTCGTTATCGATCTCCAGGGGGCGAGGATCTACACCGGTCTTTCTCGCTGGTATTTTTGCTTTTTCCCCTGCAGTGGACTGTTGTTTGAGGGCTGTTCAGTGCTTGTCGTCGCGCAAGAAGTTGGGAAAGGATCGCTTTGTTGAGTTTTGGTTAATTTGCAAAGCTTTTGCCTTGTGGTAAATCTCTTTTTGATTTTTTTTGGCTAACAGTAAAGTCACATTCCCTCTTTCCATTGCATCCATCATGATTGCTCTGCTTCTCCCCAGATCGTATCATCCGGCTCCACCGCTGCTGTATCTGGCCTAGCGTTCTGGGTCTAGTGGGAATGCACCTTCCCAGAACAGTACCTAGTCTGTCGGTCATGGAAATAAGCCTAATTCTCTGCTTCCTCATTCGCTGCGCACGAAATTTCTCTCAAGTCAGCATTATTTTCGCCACGCTGATAGGATCATCGGATGCCTTCCATCTCCTTCTTGACATTCTAATCTATCACCATCTCCACCCAATAGACCCTCGCTGAAGATTTCTCCTCGGCTCACGCCGATTTTTAGCCACCGGTCACTAGAGGACCAAGACGCATAAGGGCACATAATGCCAAATTAAAATTACCCAGACACTAGCCCAGGTAACTATTTGTTATCTCGTCCCGCCGGCGAGGGAACCTTCACGCCCCCGTTCAATCTTCCGCCGCCGTGATTGGTCCATACGTCACCAACAGCGCCTCTTCGCTCGGCACTGATTCGTTCCGTACTCGTTCCTAATTCAAGGACGATTGATAATCTTCTCTTTTTAGTCCTTCGGGGCCCGTTCCCCGATTTTGACACCTTCACCCTTTCCCGAGTCCCAAATGGCCTAGATTCAAAAGTACGAATGATCTTGTTTTTTTCTCCTTTCAATCAAAGCCAATACGTAACATGTCTATCACGAGCACGGATACGCCATGAGTTGTCACGATTATCAATATCCTATCATCCCACCCAGAAAACCGTAGTAATCGCTTCAATTGTTCCCGTCCGCCATGGCGTGATTTATCAGGAGATTGATACATATGGCGATTAAACCGACTGTATCCGTACAAACCTTATGATCAGACTTCACCCTAAACCCAACTAACACGCATGCCGCGAACCCGCGTTACAAACAACCACCTTAGTCCTATTGGCATCTAGTCCACGGTATACAAACAAGCCGGTTCCCCCACCGGACTTGAAATCCCCCCGAACAAGTCGTCATCAATATCCCCGAATAACCAGCGCCTATCTCCGAATCTAATCTATCGATCCATCTGTGTCTTGGCTCGAATGACTGACTCCTCCTCGGATCTCTGGAGGTCATCATCCTGTTCCACTGGGGGGCAGAGAAACTGACCGTGACATCATGACGGTCACACGAGTTAATTTACGGATTCTCCGATCATCTTACATCGTGGCGTGGACTAGTTTCTTAGTCGATGATTAGGTCTAGTCTTGGTGGTCGGGACTTACGAATAACCCTGCATTAGAGCCTGGGGTTTTGGAGCGGGGAGAAAATCATTTAAAAGTGGGAGTGCTTAGATTTAAGGGGTTTAATTTCACGGGTGGTGAGATTTCCGTAATCTCTCCTATTAATTATTTATTCCAAGGGTTTTCTTATTACCTTCCTAAACGGATGATGAACGTAAGCGTGCTGATGCTGTTGAGATGGTATTATCTTTTTATAAATAGGATACGCTGCGATCATGTGCGTATGAGTAAGGCTGAATATGCGTTGGATACTCGTCAGATTATCTGTAAGTCTGCTCGGCAGTTGACTGGTGTTGTACTTCCGGTTCTTGCAATCTTGAATTGATTGATCTGTATCGACTCCGATCTCAAGGCTTGGTGCAGTAAGGGTCTTTCACTTTTCTTTTTATTCCTTTCGATTTATCTCTCTCTCTCTCTCTTTTTTTTTTTTGGAAATTGTCTTTTCATTCTTGTTATTTTCTTTTTCTTTTCTTTTATTTTAGTCCCCCCCCTTTTTTATCGTTCTCTTTACATTGTCACGAGCACTTGCATGGTTTAGATTCTCGATTATTGAAAATTCAGCGTCTTACGCAGACAGCGCGATGGTAAAAGACCAGAGCTTACTCAGAGCCACGCAATCGAGTTATCTGATGTCTCCAAAAGTTTAAATATAAGAAGTACGACAAACAACCTATAGTACAAGGTCCACAGGGCACAAGAAAAGCAAAGTATAAATCTGCCCGTCCAAAATCGGACTTGAGAAAGAAAAAAGAATTATCCATGAATCCACGCCCACAGACAGACAAATAGCCATAATCCACATGGCAATCTCGCCTGCATAAGTATCTCTCACTATCTTTGCAGATCGCGAATCCATTGAGTCGTCGCATAGATATTCGTCGCACTCGTCGATCGTCGCACATCACCTAGAAAGAGAACTTTTTTTCGCCTCTTTCTCCTTGCTTCCACCACTCCATATCTATTCGCGGCGCATTGCGCTTCGTGCATCCGTGGGGCTACATGGCGAATATCAATCGGCGTAAGCCGATCTAAACCGTACGCTATGCTACTGCCCCGTCACCGGACCAAACGTTTATCGGCCGCATTTAAACCTGCTCAGCACCCCAGCCCTGGTCGCTCTCGCGCATGTTTGAGGGGGGTTCAATCGAGGGGATGAACTCCAGGGCCAAGTAACCCAGGCCGATGAATCCGACGATAGAGCCAGCGATGTAGCGCAACACGTGGTCGTGCAGCAGGATCGAACCAACGAAGATATAGACTGATCACTTGATCAGTACCCAATGGATAAGTGTGGATATGCAGCTAAGAATGGAGACTCACAGATACCGCGGCCAAGGAAGGAGAACAGGAAAGAAGCATAGCGGTAGACATAATCCGGGACGTTGGGCAGGAATTCCAGCCCAGCGACAACTAATGGGCAGCGTTATATCAGTATCCACAGACCAATGGGTGGGTAAACAGGTTCATCTTACGGAGACCAAAGATAATCACATATGCACCAACAATGATGGAGCTCATGGACGGAGGGAAGAATTGGGAGATACCGCCCAGAACCATAATCACGCCAACGGCGATGTTGACAAGTCGACTGCAGATGATCAGTCCCTAACTCCATTCACGCAGCCCCAAATTCTCGTAGAACACGAGACACATAAACATACAAGATATTAGAAAGATCCATTTTGACTGTGAGCTGGACGAGTTCCTTCGGTCTACGCAATCGTTTCGTCGGATAGAGCAGTAATTTGGGAGTGAGATCGCAAGGAAGGATCGGTAGGTGGATATCAGGAGCAAGAGCGTTTGGAGGTGTTCGGACTGAGAGCAGAGCAACACTCAGGTCGGGGAATTTCGTAGCCTGGCCCGGGCGGAGGTAGGCGAGCGTAAATAGCTGATAGATCGGTCAGGATGAGGTCTGAAGTGGTCGCTTGCCCGGAGCTCGACTTAATTGACTAATGGACCAAGCGAGAACTTACAAAGGACGGGAGAAGAGTCTCTTGCTGGAACAAAGTTTCTTAAGCAAAGAAAAAAGAAGCAGAGAGGAGAGAGAACGGGGAAACAAGGACGGTGAGGCTCCAAGCACTCCGCCGTCGCAAGCAGCGGGTCTGCCAAGACCAACAATTGATGACTGAGCACGTCTAACCGGAACTGGCGTAGCGCCACGTCTTCCATGAATGGCAATGGACGTCCGACGCATCCATCCATCTCATTAAATCGCTTCGAGAGATATTTTAATGATATGTTTGACCGTCGAACTCAATTAAATTGCTACCATGTTCCATACACATAATATTTACACGCACGCATTAAAAATCCCTAAATGCTCGAGCTCCACAGTCTGTAATATGCAAGGTAGATTCAGGTTGATTTCCCAACACTCTTTGGGCTAATCTTATGTAGATGTTGGATTCGATCACGTACATACATATTGTTTCACCAATACAAAGAGGCATTGAATACATTGATGATCTAGGCCTTTGACTGTAGGGGATACAAGTATCAAATAAATTTATCTGAGTAGCACAAGGCTAGGGATCGTCTGCAGTACAGAACTGCGTCAGCATATATGGATGAGTACCACCATAATTGCTGTGCATTGATTTTATGCGAGGAGTTCAAAGGACGGAATAAAGGAGGCGAGATGGAATAGTTATCTAATGCAAACTACCATTGCAGAGCACTAGTAGAGTATATGGCAGGTGGTCTTGATACCGGAATTGTCTTCCTGGAAATTTCACAGTAGCCTTTCTAATCGCTCTCGTAGCATCGTTAAAGTCACTCTGTTGGCCTCCCACCTGCGTCTGGCTTCCTCATATTCCTCATGTGAGACCCAGCCATCATCGCCAACGAGCTTTGTTCGCAGACTTTCAAAGTCACCATATACCTCTGCCCATGCGCCTACCTGCTGTCGAGTTCTACTGATCTCGTCGTTTGAGAACGAGATAGGACAAGGTATCGCTAAACCTCTCCGCTCCATAATTCGATCCCATTTCTCATATATCTGTATCAGAAGTTCTTGGGGCGGGATTGGACCATCTAAGGAAGACCGCCCGACGATGAGGAATATAAAGGATGTAGGATCATCATCGTTTCTCATGGCATCCATGGCTCTAACGAGAGTCGGATTGAATTTTCTTGAAGCCAGTTCGTAGAACTTTTTCAATCCAAGCCTACCAAGCTTGTCTTCGGCTAACTGCTTCTCTGGTTGTGAAAGAGTCTCGAACCCTTCTGGTAACTTGGGCTGAACAGCACCCCATGGGTATGGGTCATCGCAATCGAATATTGATGGAAACTTTGCCTGTATGCAGAGTGGCGCGGTGTAGACTGCCTGCCAATCGATTATGCTCGATATTTTCGTCCGATCCGATGGATCAACAAAAATGTTGTCCGAGTGAAGGTCATGGTGCAGCAAGGCAGGACAAAGGGTTTCGTCCCGTGGTAGTATGTGAGGCAGCACTATTAGAAACTGCTCAAGAAGGCGTACATGCATATTACGTTTCGGCCATGTTGTTGCCGATGGTACAGACATATCGCTGGATCTATTTGGTGGATTTCGGATCAGGGCAATCTCACGGGTTGCGATGGCTGAAAATACTCCTGCGCAGTTTTCCCTAAATAGTGAAGTCATGAGTTTATGGTGCAAGAAAAGTGTGATCAAGATGTACATACAAGGGCCTCGATCGATGTCTAGCTCTTGCTTTTCATCTTCCCAAAAGGAACGCTGAGTTGTCGGACCAATAACAAAACCCAACGTATTCCCTCGTTCCACTTCAATCGGGTCAGCAAAGGTTGTGCCATGTGGGTATGCATCCTTATAGTACAAGCTGCCATGAAATGCAAACCTTGAACTCGCCAGTTTCTGCTCAATTCCCACCAAGCTCTTCAGCAGACCAAACCGTTCAGCTTCCGACATGTTATCCCAGACCTCACTTAACTGACGCCCTTTCACCCTTTCCATCAGTATATACTCGGCACCCACTGGGTTATGTTGTGACGGGTTGCTCCATGAAAGAACTCTGGGGACCGGGATATCGAGAACGTTGCAAAGCTATAATAGACATTAGCCAACCAACAAATTCACCCCGAAATATATGGAGCCACAAACAAAATCGAGAGTTGCAACTTCACTAGCCACAACATAATGGGATGGCCAGCATTCGAATTTGGAATTCTCTCCAGAACCTCCCTGCCGTTCTCCATTTTCAAAGAGAACACTTTGTTGTACAGTCCCTCAGGCATTTTAGTCATTTGCATACACTGACTGCCGACTATTTGACCGACAGTTCTCTGCAAACTTGGAACATTAAATTCAACATATCGCTTTTCCAATTGTTGCTGTTCATTATATAGCCAACGACCCGACGTGTAGCAAAAGAGATGGCTATTTGTTGTCATTCGCAAGGAGTTTATAGATCGAGCTTGCTGGAAAGATTGTGAGTCTTTCCTAACAATCATAGCCAATCTTGGCTGTACACAAGATATATTGAAGGATTTTTTTAGCCTTTGCATCATGATTTCTCCAAATGCAAAACACTGAGACAACAGAGCGCTGCGTATGTGGTCATGTTACATGTATAAATAGAATGCGAGTCACTTGTGGATAAGCAACCGCTGGCTTGGATAGTTAATATTTTCCTGAATTGCATCTAGGAAAAGGAATGTTTCTATCATGGAAGCTTCTAAGCTGTGAAGGAATAAACTAGAAAAAATATAGAACTCATGATTGATAGCGGACTAATACATATAGATATTCAAGTTGAAGCAAGCACCATTGGCGGCTTTCTGGAACTTCTACGAACATATAAAAGACCCTGTACATATCATGTTATTTTAGGCTGCATCTTCAAAGCTCAAGTCAAGGTGCTACAATACGTAACCCACTTGTTTTCTGTCCTTCAACAAGTTAGCAATATGAATTAGTTTGTGGTTCTACTATCCAATGCCTTGCATCTTATGCTTGCCCATTTCAGTCGATAAGGTGGACCTTGTGAGTGCATACATGAGTCTGTAGGATTTAGGCTAATACAACGCAGACCATTACAATAATCAGGCAAATATGATCCTACTAGTGGTAGCTTGGCTCCTAGCCCAAAGTGTCTCCATCCTATTGCTGCCCCAATGTCGCCAAGTGGTGGGTCACAGCCTTGCGCCCTTTAACAGGGCTCTTGACTAAAGCCTACTGCGCCAACTATGTTAGTCTCCAGTCATAAGCCGGTGTCTTCCTGATTTACGCAAGTAATCCCTGTATTAATACTATGAGCAAGACAAGGAAAGTTAGGGCTCCGTCGACCCGAGCGAAGAGAAGTACGCCTACAGAAGAGAAAGCCGTGACTCGAACCGCGTCGTTACATATGTTAATTTCGACAAATTTTGGTAGTCTTTATGGTACTTCTTTTTTTCTCACACAAGGCGTATAGGAACATATAGTTCCAACCAAGTAGATCTAACTCTATAAAGCTCGAACATTAGAAAACAAAGGACAAAACTAGCCTTCCGACTTACTCAACCAGGTCCTCCAGTCAGTAGATCAACTACCTCAAACAAAAAGCATATAGGTTCCTCACTTGAACAACCCAATAATGCTAAATGGAACAATAGCATCATCAAGCCCCGCCGCTGTGCGGTACATCATTGGATACACATACATCGGGATAGACCATACCAGAAAGAGTCCAACCCAGGTAAAGCCTAGTACCCTTTCCACCAGCACGGGCAGTCTCACGTTGGTGTATGTTGTGATGAAGCTGTACAGCTTTATGACCGTATCCTCTATCACGATGCCGAAGGCCTGGGTGAAGAAAAAAGGGATCGCTCCAGACTTGTGGACTGGGACGCCGGCCGAGATGTCGATGAGGAAATGCATAACTGCAGAAAGGGAGAATATGGTTACTGCCCTGGTGTACTTTGGGATTAAACCCCGGCGCGATTGGATATTAAAGACATTGCGCAGGATGAAGTTGGAGATGGAATTGAACTTGTGGGTGTTTGTTTGATGCCAGAAAAGACTGCGGGTGAGATGAAATAGTATGTTCGTGTCAGGAATTCTTTCTCGCCAGTTTACAATAATGGTTGGGTTATTCATGTCGGTGTACTCACCTCCAAAAACGCCTCAACGAGTAGGCCTCCAGCGGTGATCCATAGAATGGTGGCCAATCTTTAGGAGCGCTTAAGCCGAGTACATTGCCAATCAAGGCGAAGAGTTTATAGAAGCCTCCTTGAGAGCACATCAGACCGAGTATAACTCCAATACTTCCGGAGGCTCTCATAAGAAGCTCGTTGCCAGAGACATCACGAAAACGTCTTAAAAGCGGGATATTCTGCTCTGAGAAGTATTCGCGAACCATCGCTGGGTCGGCGCCCGCATCCAGTACATCGAGTATCAGATAGCAAAGAAGGACTGTCAGGGCAGTATTCCGAATGAATTTGGTCCGAGATGGGACATACTTGGGGTCACTAGTCGAAAATCGAGGTATGCGTCTGACTTCGTGTGCGGTGCCACAGAACCGGGCTGTAAATGTTGACGAAAGGCCAAATTTCAACTTCTCTTTCCAAGAACTGCATTTCTTCGATACTGAGAACTTGTGGTGTGTTATAGCTCCATGTTCATCCTTCAATTGGGGACGTTCGGTTGCTGACACGTTTGGCTCAAAGGACCATTGACTCAGCAGTGCAATGTCAATATAATGGAAGAAGAGCATCACTGCATATCCGCCTACCAGAGAGGCCCAGGCGGAGCGTACGAGATAGGTGGGAGATATCGTGATGCATTGCCACATACATAGAAAAGCGATGAGCAAGCCACCCAGCCGAAGCGGAGATTGTGGATTCGTGAAGCCTAGGACCGTCGCGCAAACGGTCACTTCCAAGAGGAGGAGGAGAATTGGATGTGGCTCCATATCAAGGTAGAACTCGGATGAGGGTGGAAATTCGACTGAAGTCAGTAGAGCTCAACAGGAACTAAAGTGTCTATAAGTACTTGCTGGAACTGTCAGAAATATGCTGTGTTGGGTTAGCCCTGTAGAGTTCTTTGTTCGCTGTGCTATTAGTTGGGGATCTAGCCCTTCACTTCCTTGTCATATAGCATCAACTTATTGCACGATCTGACCAGTGACAGCTCCTTAGTAAGATTAGGGATAATACTTACCGGGGATTGGGGGCCAAAAATAGCTTAGACTCTAGAGGGTCGATGAGATGTGTAATTTTGAATGTACTTTTGTACGATGAACGACAAAGTCAAGCTAGCAACTGCTTAAACTACATTTAAATTACGTGGATTTTCTATGGAAAGCCTATTGTGCAAGGAAGGTGAAACAATACTAAGTTGCATTCTTACTGCGACACCGCACACACCAGGCATAGTTGAGTGCATTTCTTTCAGTCAAAACATTAGTTGTGGCTTAGCTTGCCCTATGTACACGAGAGATAACTACATCATTTGGGGCAATCAAACGCTTAGAAGCTCTCCTTGCCTTTTATCTAACCTCGCAGCAGACAAGCCATTGGCCAATCTGCTCATCTTCATTGCATCACGCTTCAGATCGGCGTAGATGGCATCCAGATCGGTGCCAATCCCAACTTGCTCGGCCGTTTTCAGGCTGCGTTTGTCAACAAATGGAGCAATCTCAGGCCACACACTCTGTACATTGTTGAAAAATAGATCGGCGCCTAAGTCGCCGAGACCCTTGATCTCCTTGATGAGCTGCCTTACTTCGTCACGGTTGTGATGTGCCTCTTCTAATAGATTATTGAGATCACCATCTAAGCGTTTTCGAAGTTAGCGAAGTAGCAATATGCCACCCCTATAACAGTCGAGGTGAGTGTATATTGTACGTACCGTATTTGCCCTCGACTAATTCTGCCAGTTCTCCTAAATTAGTAGCTCCCTGCTCCCTATACCGATTGTATCCTCCATCCTTGAGAATCATCGTGCGCTCCTCCCAGGTACTATCCCCCAATTTGTGGATATCATGATACCCAGCATCAATGACCTTGGTGATTGTGCGCTGAGTCAAATCATGCGAGATCGGGCGCGACTTCAGCATGGCATCAATAACCATCGCCAGTAGTGTCTCTGGCGTTGCAGTAAGAGGCTTCTGCGCAATCTTTGTGCCATCAAGGGGGCATCGGCCCAGTTTATCAATGGCCTTTTGTACCTTTGCCCTGTGCTTGTCAGTGTCTTCCTCTTCTTCCTCTCCTGCTTCTTCTTCTTCTTCCTCCCCCTCCTCTTCCTCCTCCTCATCTACTTCTTTGTCATCTTTGTTATTGTCTTCTTCCTTCAGTACGTCCTCGTCGCTCTCTTCGTACACATCGCTAAGATCTTCCTCCTTGTCGTCATTTACCTCGCCTTCTGCATTAATCTCATCCTCATCGGCAGGCGTATCATTGAGCTTAGTAGCTTTATTGGGTGGCTGCTGTTTTTCTGTCTCGAATTCTTGTTGAGGAGTTACTGGTTCCAGCTCGGGGTATTTTTCATCGCGCTTGCGCTTTTGAGGTTCGGAAGCGTCGGAGTAGTCTTCTTCGACTATGGGGGGTTTGTACGTCATGTTTGGACGGATTGTTCATTTAAAATCGGTACGATAACCCGGAATTATTCAATTGACAATTTACAGTACGATAGAAATTGGAGAACAATCTGAAGCGGTCGTGGAGTATATATACTCTTCCTGCTCGGTGGTGACGTCGCTATGATGCCGATCGCCCGCGGCCTCGTTTTAGGGTTTGGAATATGTACTACGATTGGAACCACTACTATAGATAATCGTTGTTTTCATTCTGTCTCGTTGCGGTTCGTTTGTATACATGATCAATCCGTATATCAGGTATTGTACATCGACCCTACAGCTTAGCCCGACCCTTCTGTTTCAAGACGCTGTTTACCAACTCGACTGCCTCCGCGGCACAGCCGAAGGAAGCTTGGTATCCAAATCCTCCATGGCCGTAGTTATGCACGACCGAGACGCCATCAACCTTATCTGTTTCAATGCGTGGTCCGCCCTCGCGGAAAGGTCGTAGTCCAACACCATGTCTAATAACATCTAATCCCTCAATGCCCTGGCCCTTGCCCACGAGTTGTGGGACGAGAGCAACGGCGCGCTTCATGATGCGCACGGCCAGGTTCGGATCGGGCAGCGGATCCCACTGGTCCTTCTGGTACGATCCTCCGATGACAGTTCCACCGCCCGCTGCCCGGGTCATCATGTAGGTGATCTCATCGTCGGCGTCGTCGGTGCCGGAGATCGAGAACATTGCGCCGGGGTCGTTGCGCACCACGACGACCTGGCCACGGATGGGGTGGAGCTTGTCGTCGTTGACTCCTCCTAGTTTTCTGGATGAAAGGCCGGTGCAGTTGACTACCACGTCGGCTTTCTTTCCGGAATGATGGAGGCTGGCTGCGTCGGCCACATGCTTGATCACGGCTCGCTTGAAGACCACACCGGTCTTGCGACATTGGCCAATTAGCCAGGGTAGATAGATCGCTGTGTTGATACAGACAGAAGTGAACACCGAGGCGTTGTCAATGCCGGGGGCCAGCTCATTGTCGGGGAAGTTGCGGAACTAGGGTATCAATCAGCGCGGGGGTCATTCCGTTGAAAGCTTGAAAAATCACATACATCCGGCACGACATCTTTATACCAAGGCTCCTTCTGCACCAATTCCGAGAACCAATCCCCGGTTGCTGATCCCTGATCTTTTGTACGATTATAGACAACCGCATCTAGACCCGTCTGCTTAGAAAATGCACAAGATACAGCGCGCGAGAGACAGCATACCTTGGAAATGAATTCCAGCGTCCGGGTACTTCTCTGTGATCTCCTTGAGGGCAGGCCAGGTGTTTCGTTCCCATTTGCCATGGGAGCTACTGGCTTTACCCACCCTGTTCTTGGTGAGCATAGGCATCTTTCATACAAAGATATACCAGTTTACCCCTGTAGAACGTACGGAAGATAATTGGCACCTGCCCAAGGTGACGCGTATTCTATGTCGTAGTCACCCGGCATATGCTTGGCCAGCACTGTGATTGAGTTGGAGGCATCCTTGGATAGGAGATATGCCGTGGTGAGTCCCGACACTCCGGCTCTGTTGGGTTGCTATCAGCTTGGAGCTGGAGGTTGGGGGAGAGTGTGGGGTTGGCCGTACCCCAGGATCACTATGTTATTTGTGGACATGCTTGTTTCTTTGGACAGGACTTTGAGGTTATTATGAGTTTTGATATATAATTGGAGCTAGGAATGAAGAGACTGTATAGAGAGAAGACAGGAATTGACGGTTCTGTACATGGTGAGTCGAAATGATTAAATATTCATATTATGCAGGATACAAATCCCGCCGGGGAAGTCGTCCGTTGGATTATCAGCGTTTGACGTTAATCGACTGGGGGTGATTGGTCCAAAATTCCGGCGGGCAGAAGGAAATGATTACTAGTATTAGTAGTACCGGGAGGGGCGATTTAGGGCATCGGGAGAGGTACATACATACATACATACATACATACATGGTCCTCCCTACATAAGTAACGTATGATACTGTCTGTATTTTATTGGAATAAATGATATTTGGAGAAATAACTGTCCGAATAAAAATAGAAGACTGTAACACTTATCAGAGTCCTGAAGATGACCTAAAACAGTATGCAAATAATGGCGGGTACTCCCGGCATCGCCAAAGCGCGCGTCTGTATCTTTCGTCATTATCGGAGGGCAGGCGTCGCCGCACGTGGTGTCGGCCAATCAGAGCAAACATCAGGCTTCACCGCCTCCTCGGATCACGACCGCTGTTCGTGTGTTTCCTCCGCAGTCCCCGTACCAGAAAAAGTATTGAGAAACTTGCTGCTGCTTTTCCTCTTTTTTTCCCTCTTCCACTTTCACTGAGCTGTCAGTGTTGCTTTTTTTTACTCTCCCTTGCCGTGTTCCTCATATCCCTCTGCTCGACGAAGCTCTCCGACTGTCTGCCTCACCAATGAGGGCCATTCGTCGAGCAGAGCTACTCAATCATGACGGATGTTCCAACCGGTGGCAGAATCGTGCCCGTAGTCGAGGCCCATCAGCATTACTCCATTCGTCCTGCCGATGAGGCCGTGGCCGAACAACGCCCCCCAACACAACAGCTCCCAGCCCACCCCCCACAACCGCACCAAGAGGATGATAGTGATGGACGTTCAAGTCAGAAGCTGCCGCCTCAGTCGCAGGTGAAATCGTCAAAAAATACGCGCAGCAAAAATGCGGAGACGGAATGCCTGGAGCTTCCGTGTCTCAGCAAATTAGGGCTCTATGCTCTCCCTACAGAGGGCGACGGTAATTCCTCCTTGCCATTGGACTTTCAAGGCATATCATATATACTGTTGCCATCTCAATGGGGCTCGTATACCGTAGAATTCCTAACGTCGCTAACTGTGCCCTCTAGGCAATTGCTTATATTACGCCCTCTCGGACCAATTCTATGGAGATTTCACCCATGCCGACGAAATTCGTGTCCGTCTCGCAGATCACATCGCTGCCAATAAAGATTACTTTATGAACTTTATAGCCGCTGTTGGTGGAGAGCGCAGAGCGCCCAGGCGGGCGGCAGCGTCGGCGGCTCGATACGCGTACTGTTCCTCCTCTTCAGCCAGTCCCGCCCCTCCTCCAACGTCCAAGGATAAAGAGCGGAGCTTTGATTCCAAGGTGGCAGAGTCTCGGAAGAAGGGCGTTTGGGGAGGAGCAGAAGAGATCCAGGCGTTTTGCCAGTCATATAAAAGGGATGTTAATGTCTACACTATGTATGGCATCCAGAACTTCCGCGATGTCCATGCTTCAGATGACGAAGAGCGGGAGTCTGTGCATATTGCTTTTCATGTAAGGCACTCACTAGTTGCTTACCGTATGATTTTCTAACTTTCTAGGATTTCCATCATTATTCCTCGGTACGGCATACCGAAGGCCCCCACACAGGCTTGCCATGTATACCCACAGCCGAGCAGACACTCCAAAAAGAAGCGTCAACAACGGGACCTACTGTCGTAGATATGGCTAGCCCGTGGAAAATATCGGCCATCCAGGAAGGTCTTGGTGGCAAGTATGACCGGGACACGATCGTAGGAATGCTTCAACAATGTCGCGGTAACATCGACAGGGCATTCGAGAACCTACTTGGTGAAGATACCAGTGCGCACCCGGCAGAGACTTCTGCTTCTAAAGCCATCATGAAATCTCGTCTTCAACAGCCGTCCTCCCGGTCTTCCTCTCCCTTCAGTACAGGCAGCAAGCGCTCCGCAGATGAGAGTGAGCTTGAGGACAACCCTCAACCGGCTATGCGGCGCAATCGCGCTAGAGATCAAAAACGCCGTATCCTTCCTGATGTAACGGTCGGGATTGCCTTCCGGGACGATCAGAATGACCTTGTATCCTTACGGTTACGAGTCAGCCCGGATGCGGTCGCAGGACAGGCGGTGACTACAGAGACCCCTAGCCAGACAGAGAGTGATTCCTTTGAGTCAGGATCCGGATCCGATGGAACCGGAGTTTCAGAGAAAGACAAGAAGTCCAGGACCAAGCAAAAGCCAGCTTCTAGCGAGCCCGCCACCCAGAAGAGCGAAGCAAAGGAAGAGCCGAAGCCACGGCGGAGCCAACGTCTCACCAAAGCTCGGAACGCTTCAAAACCTGTATAAGGTCTGTGTGCTTCTCGCTTACCTATCCTTCCCGATCTTCTGGATCAAATTCGCATTATGCCACGACCGTAACGACACTGATATACACACTTGGCTTCCATGTTTACTGGGGTTTCATAATAAGCACGTTGGGCGTTTTTGCCGCTTTGGTTAAAAGAGTCGACTATCTATTTCCCTATTAACGACTGAGCGGGTTTTGCTTCCATTTCCTTCCGATATCTACCCACACCATTTGACACTACCTATCTGCGATAGTCAGCCACGATTTCACCACGCGAGCATACGATATTTCTTGACGAGGCGTTGTTGGGGGGTTTTGCATTCATGATCTTGGTCTTGCATTGGGTTTGCGCGTGAAATAAAAAGAACTTATTTCCCTTCTGTTCCGGCGGCCTTCTCTGGTTTAGTTTGGTTTTCTTATTTCATGCATGCAGGACTGAAGGATCTGTACAGCCATAAAATCATGAACCGGTTGCATCTTGGGGCGGTGAAGAATCTTTTTCTACGCCTTTTTCCTTTTCCTTTCCAACTTACCACTTTTCGGCTTTCCTAGACGATTCGAGTTTCCTGGGACCATGTCAGGCAGGATTGGTGTGGTTGAACATGCCATCATACTATTGGCATAGATCTTTAAATCATTGATAGCTCCGGTAGACGGGCCTTTGCTCGAATACATCATCGGATACCTTGACTATTTTTTCTCTATTATATATGGGATATTGTAGGGAGATTCGTGCTTAGGGTGCGTCTGAGGACCCATTCAGTACGTAGTGATAAAATAAGAACTGTTCAAAACATAAAACAGTACCTTATTGCCGACAAGAGTAGTAGATGGATATATCCCCCATACATAATCAATCATTGAACAAATGGTGTATTGGATTACGAGGGTTAGACCAGCCGCCAACTTAGGAGCTATGCTGAAGAAATGAAGATTCTACAGATCTTGCAAGAACTTGGGGCTTCGATGTAATACATTATATGACTAGTATACAGTTCGCTAGGATAGAGTGAGTACAGTGCATATTTACAAGAGTTAGAGAATGGAAGACCACAAGAGAAAATAAAGAAAAGTGGAAGCAGAAGTAGAAAGGGGGAGGAAGACGATAGATCTATGTCTGAAAGAGTGACAACGTGACAATATCCAAAATATACATTACATGGTACTTGACATGAGAAAGAAAGAAAAATGGAATTGCTGCTTGTCATAAGAAGGGTATAATATAGTCTATCGTAGAAAGAAAATAGAAAACTGAGAGAGGATCGTCACAGATTCTGAAAATGTCTTATCTTGCCGTCAGAGGACGGTCATCAGGGTCTCGAGATTCTTCGGTGTGGGCCATGGGGCCCTGCTCATGGGTGTGTAAGGTTGGACGGTTTGCGATGCGTCGAACACCGTTATCATAATGCACTGTAGGTAAATATTCGGCTGGAGCCGTAGGAATACTCTCTGATATTTGTTTCCCTTGGTGCTCTCTAGCGTAGAATCGTCCAGGGTTGGTTCTAGCGTGTATGTGCCACGTCCCGTGAGTCAAAGGTTGGATTGACTCTTTTCAGCCTCTAAAGCGATTGTTTGTAAGGATGGTGTAGATATTCTTTGCTCCGTCTTAACGAACGGACATCCGATTGAATGACGGATCTGGTCGAAGTCGAACACCGGGAGAATAACAAAGGGTATACAGTTCGTCGACGTAAGTGTTGAAAGCCATTTCACCGGCCACAACAGTCGTCTGTGAAGCGAGTCTTCCTATTGAGGGTTCGAAGGTCGGTTCGGCCAGCTTAGCGACATCCACTTTGACTTCTTTGCGGACCATGATCTCAGGGGTGAGAGTGTTCTCGGAGAGAGACTCTTGCGAGTCAGTTTTGAGCATTGAATCGGGTACTTTGCGGGGGTTCCAGAAGCGGATCTTGGAGCGAATGGAGTCAGGAACGTCGGAGTCGGTGGATGAGGTTGGGCGGGCCTTTGAGTATAAAAGCTCTTCGCTGAGTTCTTTAGCAAATCCGTCACTCTCGCTGAGGCCGTCGTTCGTCTGCTGCTGTACGCGGAAAAGACGGAGAGGGGTAAAGGAGTAGTCTGGGTTTGAGATTTGCGTATCCAGGGATCCCACCACACAGAACGGCAGGAGGATGCAATTCTGTCCATCTGAAATCCTATTAGTGCGGCAGGGGGCGATAAGGGGACGGGCGGAAAATTTAGATGCTAGGTTGACATCGGGCGGAAGAGACGAGGAAAGATTCGTTATCGCCTGGATTAGCTGCTCGCGGAACTCGTCCATATCCTGGTAGGCTCGCGCATGGTCCGAGTTCAACCAATTCAGGCAGGTTGACATGGTCCACCCTTCCATGTGTGCTATCATTTCCAGATGTTTGATTTGGAGACGTTTAGTCGATAAAGTCGATGATGGTAAGGGGTTGCCGGTACCCTTGGCAGTCAACACTTCGAAGTGGTCATGGATCGTAGGGCGCATGATAAACGAGATAAGATGGACTCCAGGTTCGAATACACGGTGTGATGACGCGTAATCTCTCATGTCTTTGAGATGGGTTCCCAAGCTCAAGGCGGGAACGTGAATCCGGCGAGACAGGATCGTTGTAACGTTTTCGATGGTTGTAAATCGGAAACCTGCTGCTGCCATACGGCTAGCTTCGTGTTTCTTTAATTGACGCACTGTGAATAAGAGTTGACCTTTTCCTGCGCGTATCCTCGAGTACCCCATCGCACGAGAGAAGGGTGACGATGGAGTAGAGGTCGACAAAACGTGGTCATAGAGCATGCCCATATCCTGTAACGGCTGTCGAACCTCATCGGCTAGGTCTTGGGCGGTTACACAAAAGTGGCGTTTGAATAGATCATCGAAATGCGGTTGCAATTCAGTCTCTTGGTCCGAGACAACTCCCTTGGAGATGTAATGCTCCAGTGTGGCTTCGTCTGACTCTATCCGGCCTCTCATGACGGGCACCGCGTCTCTCACTAGTTTCCAGTTTCTACTCGCTCGAACAGCCCAGAGGAAAGCAGGGTGCGTCCGCGTAAGATCATCTTCATTGAATGTCTGAAGAAAAATTAATGGTTAGTGGTGGCCGGGAAATCAAATCGAGGACCATCGAAAAACAAAACTCACCCTGCCAATGTACCGGTCAACGATCTTCCGGCTTGGAAGCAATGCATGCGGTGTGACCATGATCCGTCCTTCGGGGTCGAAGAAAGCACAAGTCAAGACCAGCTGTTGGGCTTGTGCTCTGAGCTTCCGGCGGCTTCCACCAGCGACTATGGCACATGCGGACAGTACACCGCAAGCAACGCATGCCTGTATAATGTCAGTATATAGAGCCATGCGGGCCGAAAACCTAGGAAACTGACCAAGACAGAACAGATAATCACAGTCTGGGTGCGAGAGAGTTGGCCACCCTTTTTGACAGACTCATCATGATTCCGGTACGACGTTCCCACTGCAGCCGTCCAGTGCATACCAGAAACAGCTGCAGCAAGCATGCAGCCACAGATGCCTCGCCTCCACCAGCTATCCGTCCAGGTAGCTCTCCATCGAAAAAATACACTCAAAGCAACAGTGCTAGCGAAGACGGCGATGACGGCCGCACCAGCTACATTCGCAGCTCGGTAGGAGCAGTGATAGTTAGCAATCCCCAGCTGTCCAATATAATGCATACCGCAGACCGATGAGCCCGTCAGCACACCTCCCGTCATGATTCGGAGATACCCTGCTTTCTCACTTGTGCCAATAGCGTAGAAAGCGGCGAGGAGAACAACCACCGGCAAGACGAATGAGACGCCTGTGAAAGTCATGCTGTACATAATCTGAATATTTGATTCCCCATTGCCAAGAACGATCGCTCGGTTCCCAATGAAATGCATACACCAAATACCAACACCTCCCATGGCTATCGAGGAGGTGAGCAATAGGTACCTAGGTTGCATATTAGCAAGCCGACATCATGCTCTTGCACAGCACATCATGCTCGTACCAATTGTACAAACCTGCTCTTGCCGTCCGGCGATGGAGAAGTTCTAATGTCGTAGTGCATCCCATCATGCTGACCACGTAGGAAAGGAAAATAAACCCAGCCAGGTATGACACCCCGGTGGGTGCCCTCTCGACAGGGGCGTCTGCATTCGACATTTTGCGAATGAGAGGAATATAAGGAGATCGGAAGCACTTAGGACTTCATTGATCGTGGGCACGATGTGTAAAAAGAGAAACACCCAAGACAGTTCACCGTACGTGCATGTTTGGGGTCGCTGGGAAGTCTACCTTCAAGAAAGGATACAGCAAATTTGGGAGTTAAGGCTGACGCATTGACAAATGCGATCACACATGGGGACAGATCTTGCTATTATAACGATTAACTCTAGCTGATACTCCACCACCGTTTCCTGTCCCTCGTGGGCGGCTCCAGCAGTACCAAGGTTGCAACGTAGCGCGGGACAACAAGAGGTCCCAAGAATAAGCGAAGGCGTAGCTGGACATCGTATTTGTTCCTCGGGTATGTATGGGATCCGCTTTACATCCCTGTTAGTAAATGTACGTCAATTTAACAAGCGGAACCAAAGTGAGAGCCTGGCCTGTAGTCTTGGCCCTTGGGCTCCTACCACGAGCTAAAGGTAGGGAGGCTTGGAAATGGGAAGATCCATAGCAATCAGCCGAAAAACGTGGAAATTTGCTGGATACCACCGAAACGATCGAGGGATCGGGATCGTTGTTGGCCAGAAGGGAACGATGGGGCATAAACTCTGACGATTGAGGACTCGACTACCAAGTATGGGCCTGGCCACAGTCTGATAAAAATCATGGCCATGGCCTATCAGCCACAGCATACTTCTTGTTCTATTTTTCGTGGTGGAGAATTTGGTTTTCATTTTTTTTGTCTTCCCCATTTTCCCTTTTTTTTTTTTTTTTTTTTTTTTT